ATTTTAAAAATGATATTAGTGATGAAGAATATAAAAGATTAATTATAGATAGAGTAAATCAATTTAAAGATATGAAAATATCGAAACAAGGAAGAGTTTATGGTAAAACTGAAATTAAAGAATTATCTGAATTACTAGAGAAAACCAAACAAAGTGGTGAAGAAGGTGAAAATGATTTCGAAGAAAATTTTAAAAATGACTTGGAAAATAAAGAAGATGAAAAAAGATGATAATTGATATAATATTTAGTGTCAATTTTGTTAATTAAATTAAATTTAATATATTTAATAAAATATTTAAATGTTATAATACTATTATCTGGTATAAAATTTTCACAAATAATAAATAAATAAATATTTAATAAATATTCAATAAATTAATATATATTTAAATAAATAAAAAATAGTAATAATTATTATTATAGATTTCCAAAAATAATAATAATAATAACAACAAATAATAATAATAATAAAAAAAGAAATATATTATATATCTACAAATCTCACATATACCTCACATAAATCACATATACCTCATATAAATCTCCTCTTTCTCACATATATATATGTGTATATTATATTATATATATACATTACATATTACATATAACGGACGTTATATTTTTCATCTTCTAATTCATCATATTCAAATTGTTCTGTCGTTTCTTTCTTAGAAACATCAGCTTCATAAGGTCTTCGACTACCACGTGTTTCTGCCTGATAAATATTAAATAAAATGTATAAAAAATATTAAATAAATAAATATAAAATGCAATATTAATTAAATAATATAATAAATGAAATATAAAATATTAAATAAAAAATTAAATAAATTTCAAAATAAAATATTAAAATAAAATAATAAATAAAATATATTTACAATAGCGGATTTAATATCTTGAAATTTCTTATAAATAGTTTGTCTCGCCACATAAGAATTTATTCCCAGTTCTTCTAATTCGTAATAACGCATATTAATAGCTTCATCCCAATCGAGTTTAACAAAATTAGGCGCGTATTGTTTTAATTTTAATGATGCAAGTAATGCTCCAATATCTATAAAAATGATATTAATAATCAATTAATAAATATTTAATAATTAATAGTTTATAATAATAATTAATTAATTTACCTCGTTTTTCTATCATATTAAAATCAACCCTATAAAAGTCAACTATAAGCTTTAAACGTTCTAAAGGATCTTGTATATCTTCATCTTTAATATTCATCGATATTAAAAGTCTCTTGGGGAACGGCAACATATATCCTTCTTTAATTACCTAATAATAACAATAATCATAATAATAATAAATAATTTTCAATAATCATCAATAATCATAAATAAT